GGTCAGCCTTTACTTGAAGTCTAGGCCTGTCCCTTCTCCCTTCCTCCCCCTCCCCCTTCCTCCTTTCTGCTTTCCTCCCTTCTTTCCTCTTAGCTGGTCACTCAGCACGTGTATTTTGAGCCCTTGCCATACACCAGGCACAGTAGCAGATGCTAAAGATACAGGTAAGGCTCCCACAGTCCTATAGACAAGAGCGGCATTTGGACTTTAACAAAGTAAATTGTGGAAATAAAATTTCAAACCCCATGTTCTTGAACTCAACCTTGGTTAGAAAAGGTAATTAGAACCCAAGCTAACCAGCTCATCAGTAGTTAATAATCAGCTCTTAAAACAGCAGTTCTCAAAGTGAGGCCCACAAAACCCTGGGGTCCCTTGGGAGTTTGAGAGCACCCCAAGACTTAAAGACTTTTCTAAATAAACAAGCAAACACTTTTCTAAGGAGATCAATGGTGATCTTATGAAGGAAATTTTTAAATATACTGTACAGTGAAGTGTGTCAACATCTGGACAATTTGCATTTGTGAACTAATATTTTCTAAATAATCAGTGCACAATGTTACAAAATCATTTGGTGAAAGAAAATCAACGGGTAAAAATCATTTGGTAAAAGAATATCAATGGGTAAAAGATCCATTGAAAGTAGAAGACAGGTGAAGGGAGTACAAAAAGCTCATTTGTAAGGTTTCAGATTCCACACTACAACTAGACTTTAAGAAACTTCCACTTGGCAAGTTTCAGTATATTAAAGAAGAATATGAAAGCATTCTTAAAAGTCTTGTAAAGTAGCCCCACCTCCACCCCACCCACCACTTCTAATGCATTTCCATGTGAGGCCATATTTTCTTCATACACTTCAAACAAGAACAACATATTGATTGAATACAGAGGCGGGTATTCTATTGGATAGTCATCTGTTAAGCCAGGCATGAAAGAGGTTTGCAAAAATGTAAAATAATGTCACTCTTCTCATTAATAATTTTAGTTTCAGAAAACATTTTTCTTAAAATTTATGGTAGCATATAATGGGTCTATTATTTTCATTTTTATTTATTTTTAAGTGTTTATTCATTTCTGAGAGAGGGGGTGTGTGTGAGCGGAAGAGGGGCAGAGAAAGAGGGGATGGAGGACCCAAATCAGGCTCTGAGCTGACAGCAATGAGCCCCATCCACCGTCTGAACTCACAAACCATGAGATCATGACCTGAGGCGAAGTTAGACTCTCAACTGACTGAGCCCCATGTTTTCATTTTTTTTAATGTTTTTTTTTTTAATTTATTTCTAGGAGAGAGAGAGAGAGAGACAGCGTGAGCAGGGGAGGGTCAGAGAGAGAGGGAGACACAGACTCTGAAATAGGCTCCAGGCTCTGAGCTGGCAGTCAGCACAGAGCCAGACGAAGGGCTCGAACCCACAAACAGAAAAATCATGACCTAAGCGAAAGTCGGACGCTTAACCGACTAAGCCACCCAGGCGTCCCCCCCCCCATGTTTTCATTTTTAAACAAATTAATAAATATTTTTAAATTTCTCAGTGGGAATTTTTTTTTAATTTTTTTTTATGTTTTTATTTATTTCTAGGAGAGAGAGAGACAGCGTGAGCAGGGGAGGGTCAGAGAGAGAGGGAGTCACAGACTGAAAGAGGCTCCAGGCTCCGAGCTGGCAGTCAGCACAGAGCCCGACACGGGGCTCGAACACACGAACCGCGAGATCGTGACCTAAGCGAAAGTCGGACGCTTAACCGACTAAGCCACCCAGGCGCCCCTCAGTGGGAATTTTTAATGCAGTTAATATCAACAGACACCATCCTTACATACAAAAGTTCTTTGGAGTCTTCAATAGCTTTTAAGAGTGAGGGGCACCTGGGTGGCTCAGTGGGTTAAGCATCTGACTTTGGCTCAGGTCATGATCTCGCAGTTCATAGGTTTGAGCCCCATGTCAGGCTCTTTGCTGACAGCTCAGAGCCTGGAGCCTGTTTTGGATTCTGTCTCCATCTCTCTGCCCCTCACCTGCTCACAAATTGTCTCTCTCTCTCTGTCAGATGTAAATAAACATTAAAAAATGTGTTTCTTTAAAACAATAATTTCTAAGAGCGAAAGAGTTCTAAGACCAGATACTTTCTTGCAGAACCATCTTAATGCAATGGTGGGAGGAAGCAGAGGTTTCTTCCGTCTCTGACAATGAGGAAAGGAATTCAGTCATCTGTAGACAGCAGAGAAGGCAGTGGGTGGAGGGCAGTCTGAGATTTGAGAAGAGGCCAGGAAGTTTGAGATGGTTGCTATAGAAAACCACGAGGTTGCTCTCAGGCTCCTCTTACCTGCCTCCTTTGGGACACTGTGTCTGAGGCCATGGCCATGTGTGCAGGGACTTCCTTGTCTGGAGAGCTGTTTCCAGATGACCCAACCCTGTTAGCCCTCACTGTTCTCACAAACCCAGAGCCGAATCTGCTGAGATTTAAGCAGAGGTAGGCTGTCTGTTGGGCATGTCTTTTTTTTTTTCCCCTATCTTTATTTATTTTTGAGAGAGACATACACATAGAGAGTGTAATCAGGGGAGGGTCAGGGAGACAGGAAGGCACAGAATCTGAAACAGGCTCCAGGCTCTGAGCTGTCAGCACAGAGCCTAACGCAAGGCTCAAACTCAAAAACCTGGGATATCATGACCTGAGCCGAAGTCGGATGCTTAACCACGGAGCCACCCACGTGCCCCATCAGTATTGATTATAGTCATGCTAAGCTGTATCTTAATGTCATTTTAATCTGCTTTTCCTTCATGGCTAATGATGGCGAGCTTATTTTCATGTGTTTATATTCCATTTGTATATCTTCTTTGGAGAAAGGTCTAATAAGATCTTTTGTCCACTTTTCAGTTGGGTTACTTGTCTTTTTATTATGGAGTTGTAAGTTTTCTTCATATCTTCTAAATCCAAGTCTCTTATAAGGTATGTGACTTGGAAAAAGTTTGTGTCATTTTGTGGGTTGTCTTTCCACTTTCCTGATGGTGCCTTTTGCAACACAAAGCTTTTAATTTTGATGAAGTCCAATTTATCTATTTTTTTCTTTTATTTCTTGTGTTTGGGAGGCCAGATCTAAGAAAACACTCCCTCTTCCAAGTTCACAAAGATTTGTGCTTATGCTTTCTTCTAACAGCTTTTGGAGTTTTAGCTTTTACATTTAAGTCTGATCTATTTTGAGTAAGTTTTGTGTATGGTTGAGGTAGGGGTTCAACTTCATTCTTATGTGGATATCCAGTTGCCCCAGCATCATTTGTTGAAAAGACTATTCTTTCCACATTGCATTGTCCTGGCACCCTTGTTGAAAATCAGTTCCGCATATGACTTATTCCTAGACGGTAAGCTCTATTCCATTGGTCTATATGAGTATCCTTATGCGAGTACGACATTGGTTTTTATGAGTATATAAGTATAGCATGTTTTGTAATTAGAAAGTGTGAGTCCTCCAATTTTGTTCTTCTTTTTCAAGACTGTTTCTATATCCTTTGAGTTTCCATATGAATTTTAGGATCAGACTGTCAATTTCTGCAAAGAAGTCAGCTGGGATTTTGATGGAGATTGCGTTCAAATTGTAGATCAATTTGGGGAGTACTGCCATCTCAAAAATAGGACATTTTCAAAATCATGAGAAGGAGATGCCTCCTTTCCAGGTCTCAATTTCTTCATCTATACAACGCCTATCCAGGAACACCCACTCCGGCTAAGTAGGAATGAAACAAAGTTAGTGCAGGCTATTGAAACACTCATTAGATAAGTGCTTTATGTCAGCTTTATTATTTTCGAGGTTACAGTAAAATGAACTTGAGCAATATAGAAGGTTGGGCAGAATGTTGTTAGAAGTGCTTTAATCAAATACTTTAAATGCACATAATTAACACACTGTTCTAAAGCAAATTGGTCCTTCAAAGGGGGTACTTAAGTAACATACCTGAGAACAGGAGCCCAGATTAAGTAGCAGAGCCATACGGCCATATGTGCCACTATGGTCCAATCTATATTTGACACCAAAAGACGTGAGCCTCATATTATTGTAACAAAATGCCAGGTTACGATACACTGTGTACAGCATGATCCCAATTTCATAAAATATTCAAAACCACCTATCTATATGGAAGGAGGGATCAGTTTAAGAATATGTTTACACTGGGGAGCCTGGGTGGCTTAGTCGGTTAAGAGTCCGACTTTCGCTTAGGTCATGATCTCGCGGTTCGTGGGTTCGAGCCCCGCGTCAGGCTCTGTGCTGACTGCCAGCTCAGAGCCTGGAGCTTGTTTCAGAGTCTGTGACCCCCTCTCTCTCTGACCCTCCCCTGCTCACGCTGTCTCTCTCTCTCTCTCTCTTTCTCCTAGAAATAAATAAAACATTAAAAATAAAAAAAAGAATATGTTTACACTTATCATGATGAAAAACAAATAAAATAAAAATGATAAAACAAAAAAGAATGCAGTCTATTGCTGCATGGTGTGGGAAAGTGAATTTATTTTCTGCTTACTCTTTCTACAATTTTTTAAAAAATGAATAAAAGTTCTTTCCATTGGCGGAAGAGGACCAAGGCGAGGCTCCCCTGCAGGCAGCTGGGGAGTGCAGAAGAGCAGGGGGAGGTGCTGGGGGCCTGCTCGCTCCCGCCCGCAAGAGGCTACACTTCCCGGCGTCGGCTCGGGGGTTCGCGGAGCCGGGAGGGAGGCGCTGCGCTGAGCCAGGCGGTGGGGTAGGGCGGGGCGAGGAGCGGGGGCGGAGCCACGAGGCGGGGCGGGGCGAGGGCGGGGCGGCGGGGTGAGGGGAGGGGCGGGGGCGGGATGGTGCGCAGGTCCGGGCGGTGGGCGAGGCGGAGCCAGGCGGCGGGGTGAGGCAGGGCGGGAGCGGGGCGGAGGCGGAGCCATGCGACGGGAGCGGGGGCGGAGCGCAGAGCCCGGAGGCGGGAGAGGCGGAGCCATGCAGCGGGGGCGGGGAGATGGGCAGGGTTGTCCGGCCCCCGGGCCGCAGGGTCCTCGGTGGCCGGGGAGGCGGGGCGGAGGGGGCCCGGAAGGCGGCCGGAAGAAGCCGGAATCCTGGCCATGGCGGCTCCGGGCGCGCTGCTGGTGATGGGCGTGAGCGGCTCGGGGAAGTAGGTCCGGGAGGGTCGGGGGTGCGGGGGGCGCAGCGGAGGAGGCGGCGCGCGCGGAAGAGGCCAGAGTCTGAGTCACGATGCCGGACCCGCGGGGGACGCAGGGTTCTGGGAAACTTCCCGCTTCCTTTTGCAAATGAAGAAGCGGAGGCCCGAGGCACCTGCTCCCTCTCCCCACCCTCCAACCTTCCCGCCCCGGGGCGCCTGGCCGGGGACCTCAGATTCTCCCCTATAAATCGAGAGGCTCTTGAGAAAGCCCTTTGTAAAGAAGCGCCTGCTAGGGCGCCCCCCGCAGTCGCTCCTGCGGCCGCAAGTGCCCGTGTTTGGGAGCCTCCGGTCAGAACAAGGCCCAAAGCACGGGCAAACCTCTCCCCGCACGGGTCCCAGTCTCCCACAGACGTTGGTCAGGCAGCGCGGAGCGGCAGTCCCTCCCGAGAGGTGCTGGCCTTTTGTGATTGGATTTTAGGAAGGGAATTTCACCTTCTGGTCTGTGTTCTCTGTTCTTTGATTAGCGTTTATCAGCTTAATCTGGAAGGAGTCTGTTAATAAGGAGTCATAAAACCCCCCAAGGCTTTGCAAGGAGGAACACCGGATGCCACAAAGCCTCTGCCTAGCCAGGTCTGGCCAACTTGGGGGCTGGGAGCTAGACTTTGGCTTCCTGATTAGACCAGACTCTAACCGTGCCAGTTACCGGAAAAGGTAGCTACGACAGCATTCCGCCCCAGGCAGCAAAAGGCAGATTTTTTTAAAAATGTTTTTAAATTTATTTCTGAGAGAGAGAGCGTGAGCAGGGGAGGGTTAGAGAGAGAGGGAGACACAGAATCTGAGGCAGGCTCCAGGCTCTGAGCTAGCTGTCAGCACAGAGCCCGACGCGGGGGCTTGAACCCTTGAACCGTGAGATCATGACCTGAGCTGAAGTCCGACCGACTAAGCCACCCTGGCGCCCCACCGAAGACAGATCTTAATCAAGTGAAATACCATAACTTCAAAGGCCTATAATACCCTCCTAGAACTTTCTGAACCAGAAACATCTTGTATGGTCAGGTATACATTAAAGACTCTTGCTCCAGGTAGGAAAGTTTAGGTTTTCAAAATTATTGTGCCATATTTGGCCTGGTATCCTGAGAAATTAATTTGGGGAGTCTTGAAATAAAACAGGGAGTCAGAAAATCCTTAGCCGTTGTGCGATTTGCAGAAGACTGTAAGACTGCTTCTGTGGTGTGAAGAAGTGGGTGTCAAAAGCCAGAGGTCACACAGCTGCCTGGTTGTGTGAGCCTGGGCAATTCATGTACCCCTCTCTGCCTTGGATCAGATGTGGGGGGGGTTTATGTGATCATATGGTTTATGTGATTATGATATTCATGCATTCAGTAAATATTTATAGAGCTCAATCCTGACTCTGTGTCACTGATACACACTGAATAGGACAGATAAAATCCCTGCCCTCAAAGAGTTTACATTCTAGTATGGGAAACAGTACGTAAATAAATACATGTACGTAGTGTGCCAGCAGTGGTAGGTGCTCCAGGGGAAAATAAAGGACAGTAAGTAGGACAAAGAACAGCAGGCAGGATGGTGAGCGAAGGCTCCTCTGAGGCCGGGGTATTTGCGAGAGACCCACAAGAAGTGAGGGACTAAGCCTGGTGGACACCTAGGAAAAGATCAGTATAGGCAGACAGAATGGCAAGTGCAAAGGCCCGGAGGCTTGGTTTTTTGATGGACCACCAGGGAAGCCATTGTGTCTAAATGGGAGAGGAGGTCACAGAAACAATGAAGGTGAAGAGAAGTGATCATATGCTGGAGATATTCTGAAGGTAGAACCAGAAAGATGTGTTGATGGACTGGATGTGGGTATGAGAGGAGAGAGGCGTCAGGATGACTTCAAGATTTTTGGCTGGGATAACTGGAAGAAGGGAGTTACTGTTGGCTGCTGGGGAAGCACTAGGCAGAGCAGGTTTAGGGGAAAAAATATATCAAGAGCTCAATGTGAGATGTGGTGAATTGCCTGTCAGTCATCCAAGTGGATTTGTCAAGTGGTTGATTAGATATCAAGTCCAGTCCAGAGTTCAGGAGAGGAAATTTAGAAATAAGTGTAGGAATCCTTGGTGCACAGATACATTTAAAGACATAGATGTTGAGATCACCAAGGGAGTGAGTAAAGATAAAGACGCTGGCCAAGGCCTGAACCCTGAGCCTTCTGATGGTGTAAGTTCAGTGTCCACTGTTGCTGATAGACCAAGTAATAAAATGAAATGAGAATTGATTATAACGATCAATGGACATGGCAACATTGGGTTCTTGGGTGACTTTTGTGAGCCCGTTAGGGCCTAGCAGGATTTTAAATTATACATAGTGTAACATTTACGAGGAAAAAAATGACTCAAGGAAACAAACGAGGGAAAAAAAATGACTCATGAAAACAATAGCCTCAAGCCAGAAAGATAGTAGTTAAACCACTGTTAAAACAAAGTAATGTCAAATAATAATTTTACTTATTTACTACGTTTATTGCCTCACCCTCCCCTATCTGGATGTAAGGGATCTTTTTCCTTTTTATTTGCTAACAATGCCTGGCGTGTAGTAGATGTAGTAGATGCGTAGTAAATATTTCTTGACCTAATGCATGAATGAATGAACAAATGAATGAACGGAGCTATTTGAGTAGGTGGCAATGTTAGTGTTCTTTATATGTTAACGCCTGAGTGAAGCCACCTTGGCTTCTTTCCAGGTTTCCATCTATTGATGGTATGAGCTCAGGCCTTCTGAATATCTTTTGCATTTAAGCTGTACCCCCACCTACCATCACTGCGCTACTGGTCTCCGCCCTCCCCCCCCTCCCGACCTTGTCCTTAATCCTGATTTACACCAACCTGCTTGGAGACCTTTGGGCCCCAGCCTGGGTTGTAATGCCTACTCGGAGTCTTCTCTGAGCCAAGCGCTGTGTCTTATTCCTGCTGGGGACTCCCTGTCTCTGTCCACTTTGAGTCCAGCTGTTCTCTGGTAGCGGAGGTTTGGAGAGAGCGGTAGACAGTGACTTTTCCTTTTCCTTCTATCTCCTAACAGTCTACACCCAAATCTAGTTAGCGCTTCTTTTACATTGTGAGTGGTGGCTGACGAGTTCATTCCTGGCTGATCTTAGTCCTGAGTGTGTTTTCGTCATGCACAGCTCTGGCTGCACCGGCCGTAGACTCAGTCACCAGAGGGCTGCAGTATGTCACCGTCTGTGGGCTTCAGCACCGTGAACCTAGTGGGAGAGGTTCCGGTTCTCTTCAGTCCTTTGGTTACATCGGGCAGCAGGTCTCAGCTGGGCACACGTGTGTCTCTAACACCTCCCTCATACCTTCTTAACAAAAGAGAGGCAGAACCCTTGAATCCAGCTAGAATGTAAGCGGGGGTTTTATTTTAATTGTACACATCTTTTTGGTTACCTTCCATTTATGGCAAGTGGTGATGGCTTCCGGTAGGAAGGAAAAGTTTCTTCTTTCACACATTTCCTTACTTTCAAAAAAAATGAATCAATTAAATAGAAACATCAAGTAGGGGCACCTGGCTGGCTCAGTTCAAAGAGCCTACAGCTCTTGACTCTGGGGTCGTGAGTTCAGGCCCCACATTGGGTTGTGGAGATTACTTAAATAAAACTTTAAATAAACCAAGTAAATAACTGTAGAGACGGGATGCAAAACTTAGGAGGAAGGGCCTGATGAAATGGTAGAATACAATCAAAATTCTGAAGGTGGTCCTCAGATGACTGGCATTTGGGCAGCAGATTAGAAATTGAGAGCCAGCAGGGACTGCGGTTATCATGAACTGTCTGCGAGCCTGCACCCTAACCCCACGGTGCAAGCCTCAGGGTGGCTGGGAGCACATGGCAGTGTGCCAACCATCATATCCTGGGCACTAGGAGGTGCTCTGTAAGTACTCGATGAGTGAGATGAGTAGTGAGTGGATAAACGCAGCTCAGTTCCCGTTTTGCAGGTGAGGAGGCGGGTTTGTTGGCAAAGGCAACTTGCACAGAAGCGCATGGCCATTTAGTGGCCAAAGGGAGATGGTGGCCAGATGTTAGGTGCTGAGACCCAAGCCCTTCTCACCAGGAGTGAGTTCCAGCAGATGCTCATCAGGTGCACTTCACAGAGGACAATTCCCTCCCGGGTTGAATGAGTGCTGGTAATTCTCATCCTGAATTTTATTTTATTCTTTAAGAGTGTGTCTCTGTTAACCCCCAAATAAGGTGTTAATGCTTTTATGAGCTCCTTGAACCTTGTCCTGGGAGATTGACCCCCCCCCATACTCCTCTTTCCTATATCCACAGTAGAATCTTATCTTTATTCATAAGTGCTTTTCCTCGAAATAGAATTATCTATGGAACAGGGACCAAAAAGCTTCAGAAAGAACTTCAGAAGTTGAATGAGATCTTATATGCAGGAAAACCTTGGTTTGTGAGCATAAGTCATTCCAAAAACATGCTTATAAAGCATTTGTATATCAAAGCAGATTAAAGAACAATTGGCACAGTTGTGATCATGTGACATTTGGCATCGGGTACTACTAGGATTGCAAGACACGGCTCGTTTATCAAGTTAAAATTTATTAGAAATGTTTGTTCATTTTGCGGAACACTCGCAGAGCAAGTTACTCATAACCCCAGGTTTTACTGTATTGCTTTTTGGAAAAGAAAATTAGTGGTAACTCAGTAATTATGTCATTTAAAGGTTAAAAAAAATTTTTTTAACATTTATTCATTTTTGAGAGACAGAGACCGAGTGTGAGCAGGGGAGGAGCAAAGAGAGAGGAAGACAGAATCCAAAGCAGGCTCCAGGCTCTGAGCTGTCAGCACAGAGCCCAACATGGGGCTTGAACCACCAATTATGAGATCATGACCTCAGGCAAAATCTGACACTCAACCAACTGAGCCACCCAGGGACCCCAATTTTTCTTAAGTTTATATATTAATCTTGAAAGAGAAAGAGAGCAAAAGTGGGGAGGGGATAGAGAGAATCCCAAGCAGGCTCCATACTCAGTGTGGATCCTGATATGGAGCTTGAACTCACTCATGAACCATGAGATCATGACATGAGCCAAAGTCAAGAGCCGGATGCTTAACTGACTGAGCCACCCTGGTGCCCCAATTATGTCATTTAAATTCCTGGAGAAAACTAATGTCATGGTCTAGACTCTAGGGTCAAGAGCATTACAGTCACTGCTTCAGTATCAAAAAGTTAGTGGGTTTCAACACGGGGCAGCCTCCTGTGCCTGTCTCGCAGGGCACCCCTGTGTGGTGGGAGGCACGCATGGGTTGGGAAAGGCAGCCGCCTGAACCTCTGTGTCCTCTCCACAGATCGACCGTGGGCGCCCTGCTGGCATCCGAGGTAACCTGTTCTGATGCCTCCCAATTTCCAGGCCTGTTGTGCTGTGTCTTTGCTTCTCTCCCGTACGCGGACCTTTCTGGCCTGTTGCGGTTTGTCAAACAAACCACAGACACGGCTTGTGAAACCCAATGGAGCAATTTTGTTTTTCTCTGTGGTGATCACCAGCAGTGATGAATGAAAGGAGCAGCAGCCCCGTGAGCTGGGACAGTGACGTGACATCAGGGCCTCCCTGGTCCTTCCTTTCCCCACCCACGGTGGGGGGGCCGCAGCGGGTGAAGTGGGGGGGGTGAGGAACAGGGTGGCAGGCTTGTTTCCACACCTGCCCAGTGGTATTAGTGATGGTTATCACATGGCCGCACTGCCTGCCACACACACCCTTCCATGTTGTTCTTAAAGCTAGGATGGAAATTCTACGACGCCGATGACTATCACCCAGAGGAAAATCGAATGAAAATGGGAAAAGGGATCCCGCTGAACGACCAGGTAATGTTTGCTGTCACAGACACTCCAGCCAGGGGCCACGGGTGGGGATCTCGCAGCACCTGGCGTGGGAGAGTTCCCGCCCGCGGGGACCCGTGCACAGTGCTCCAGAGTCAGGCTCACGGGGTCTTGTGTGTGTCAGCTTTGACCCTGAACTTGTCTTTCAATGCTGAGTCAGGGGCGGTACCACCCTGCCAGGACACTCTGTTGCAGGCTTTTAATCTCCAGAATGACATTCCCGAGGGGCAGAGGCCCGCTTGGGCCCCAGACCTGTGCCTTCATCCTCTCTCCCCAGCGCCACTGTCACCAGACTCACGTCCACCCCAAAGTCACAGTGATCATTGCAAACTCAAATCCAGCCCTTTGGAAATTTCCCATCTCAGGGTCAAAACCAAGCACCTAAATGCCTCACTATGCCCCTCTCCTGTGGGAGTGTGCCCGCCCTCCCTCTTTCCACCAGAGCCACCCTGGCCCCTTTCTTCTTCTTCTTTTAATGTTTATTTATTTATTTTGAGAGGGAGCATGAGCAGGGGAGGGGCAGAGAGAGAGGGAGGGAGATAGAATCCCAAGCAGGTTGCATGCTCAGCTCAGAGTTCGATGCGGGACTTGAACTCACGGACCAGTGAGATCATGACCTGAGCTGAAACCAAGAGTCGGAAGCTTACCCACCTGAGCCACGCAGGCGCCCCAGCCCTGCCCTTTTCAGTCACTCCTACTGCCAGGCTCCTCCGCACAGGGCCCGTGTGTCTTCCATTCCCACTGTTGGGAATGCACTGCCGTCCCCTCTCCTGTTAACCCTGCTCGTGTTCGCAGCTCAGCTCCCATGCCGCCTCTTCAGGGAAGCCCTCCTGGACCTACTGAGGGCAAACCTCCTGTAATAGGAATTCTCACAACACCACAGCCCTCACTGCCCTTGTCCCAGTTGCGGCTTGGCATTTTCAACTTGGCACAGTTGTACGTGAACAAATGAAGGAGAGAAGGAATGAATGAATAATGATCTCGTTCCTTTATGCGCTGTCATGAGGCCATTTCCTAAGGGTCCCTCTCAAAGCAGAGCTACAAACTGTGGACTCACTGGTATAACTGGCTGTAGCCCAGTGCGATGCGAGGGCCCGGTGCCCGCAGCAGCTGAGAGCAGGGCCCGCACCGGCCTCACAGGGCAGGTGTGTCCAGAGGGCAGGAACAGAGTGGAACTGGCCAAACCGACACTGACATTTTCAATTTCAGTGACCTTGGCCCCAGCCGAGCTGCCACTATCTCACTGTCTCCCCTCTGCCCCGCCTTGAGGGGCTGGAGTCACTCTCTCTCTGTTTCAGGGAGTGTGGCTTGAGTTGGCAAAGATTCAAACTTGGAAGGATCAAAGTGAAATTTGTGACATTTGACTTGGGGGGGAGGGGCACAAAAGATGCAGAGGAACAACCGAAGCATAATAATGACGTGATGCTAGAGATGATGGACATAGTGCAGACACCCGTCTCCACCACCAAGCTGGTGTGGGCCTTTGGCTACTGGCTGAGTCTCTCTGTGCCTCATTGTACTCCTGTGGAGTAGGATGGTAAACGGGACCCATTTCATTGGGTTTAGGGGAGGGTTAAGTGAGATAATACTAAAAAAAAAATAGTCACAGTGAAGTACACAAAGCATTCAGTAAATATCACTTATTTCTCGTTGCTACTATATCTATACATTCATGTACGTGTAACACAGGCCATTTCTATGGAGTGTGTACAATGAGACTGTGCCAGCGTTATTTTTCTCCTTGGTGAATGCAAGTAAAAGTTAAGCTAAAGAACGAAGTAAAACAACCCAATGGATGGATTCCAAAGTGGCACTTAAGTAGCCTTCCTCTCGTTCACAAATGCGGCTCATTGGGTGGGCAGTATGGGTGGGGGTTGGGAGTGGCGTTCGGAAGAGGAGTTTATTGTACAGAAGAAAAGGTTGTCAATTCCTGGAAGAAGCATAATGAGTTACTAAGTATATTTAGGAGAAACCGTACAAGTGAGCCAGACTTTAGACTTTCTGGCAGGGAGAGAAAGAGCTAGAACGGCAGATGGTTCACATTCTTAACGAGAGCCCAGCCAAGGATGAAGGTGTGGGTCAGAGCGGGCTGGCCCCTCCCGGTCGCCTAGCAACCCGGCCCCGCCCCTGAGGTACTGTGATGAGGATGCTGCAGAAAGTCCCAGGCAGTTCAGGGGCCTCAGGGGAAGAGTCTCAAAGGCTTGGGGAGGGTTTTGTGCTCAGAGGGCTGAGGTTTGAATGGAAAGAACCTGAGATGAATATTCCAAGGGCTCCTTAAGGCTCTTTAGATGTAAATTAATACAAAATAAAATGCAAACTCCAGTTCTTAGGTTACACATCCATATTTCAAGTGTTCAATAGCCACATGTAGCCGGTGCCTACGGCCGAGATAGTGCAGACAGAGGACACTGCGATCCTGACTGAAAGTTCTAGCGGACAGCGCTGGGCTAGAGAGAGATACGCCACCCAGGCTGTGATAGGATGTTGTTAGTCTGAAGATGATAAAGTATCTGCAAGCTCCTGGTCTCTACGTGCGAGGTCCATGCGTCCGGCAGCCCACAGCAACACTTACGACTTCAAAGTGTTGAAAGAGGAGGTTTTTTTCCCTTAAGAAAGAGAGAGAGGCCAGAGGGAGAGGGAATAAGAATCCCAGGCAGGCTCCACGCCCAGCGCTCAGTGCAACACAGGGCTCACTCTTACAACCTGACCTGAGACAAATAAAGAGCTGTCCCAAGCGAGGGTTTTTCTGAGAAAAATTTTCCTGCTTAAGAATGTAGTGTTTACCCTTATAGAAAATTTGGGGGTCGGGGCACCTGGGTGGCTCAGTGGTTAAGCGCCGACTTCGGCTCAGGTCATGATCTCATGGTTCGTGGGTTCGAGTCCTGCATCGGGCTCTGTGATCACAGCTAGCTCAGAGCCCGGAGCCTGTTTCAGATTCTGTGTTTCCCCCTCTCTCTCTGACCCTCCCCTACTCAAGCTCGCTCTCTCTCTCAGAAATAAATAAAAACATTAAAATTTTTTTTTAAAAAATTGGGGGCACCTCAGTGGCTCAGTCAGTTCAGCATCTGGCTCTTGATTTTGGCTCAGGTCATGATCTCATGGTTCGTGGGATCAAGCCCTGAGTCAGGATCCGTACCGGCAGCACGGAGCCTGCTTGGGATTCTCTTTCTCCCTCTCTCTCTGCCCCTCCCCTGCTTGTGCTCACTCACTCTCTCTCAATATAAATATCTTTTTAAAGAGTAGGAATGAAAATAGGGCTGCAAACAAACTGATGTTAGTAAATTTGAAGACTTGGGTAAAATTAGACAGTTTCGTAGGAAAATATAAATTACTGTGGGAAAATGGGTTTGGATGACAGTGATCTGGGGCAGAGACTATTCTTTTTCTTCCCAAATGGAAAACATGACTTTACTGATGCTGCATTTGGCTTAAGAATCAAGAGGGTCCTGGGGCACCTAAGTGGCTCAGTCAGTTGAATATCCAACTCTTGATTTTAGATCAGGTCATGATCTCACGTTTGTGAGATTAAGTCCCACACTGGGCTCCACACTAGGTGCAGAGCCTGCTTGGGATTCTCTCTCTCTCTCTCTCTCTCTCTCTCTCCCCCTCCCTCCCTGTCTCTCTCTCTCCCTCTCTCCCTCTCCCTCTCCCTCCCCACCCTTCCCTCTGCCCCTCCCTTACTCTTGCACATGCGCCCTCTCAAAAAAAAAAAAAAAAAATCAGGAGGGTCCAGAGATCTAATTATATGTATAGTCTCTTCCTGCTATTTCAAATACCAAAACTGAATCAAGCTTAAAAAACCTGGGGTGCTCAGTATTCACAGCAGCACTCTCAACAATAGCCAAAACATGGAAAGAGCCTTAAGTGTCCGTCAACTGATGAATGGATCAAGAAGATGTGGTTTATCTATACAATGGACTACTACATGGCAATGAGAAAGAATCAAATCTGGCCACATGTAGCAACGTGGATGGACCTTGAGGGTGTTATGCTGAGCAAAATAAGTCAGGCAGAGAAGGACAGCTACCATATGTTTGCACATATAGGAGAGTTAGGAGGAACTTAATGGAAGACTGTGGGGGAAAAGAAGGGGGGGAAATAGTGGGGGAGAGGGAGGGAGGCAAACCATGAGAGACTTTTGAATGGTGAGAACAAACTGAGGACTGATGGGGGTGGGGAGGAGGGGAAGGGGGGTGATGGGCATGGAGGAGGGCACTTGTTGGGATGAGCGCTGGGTGTTATATGGAAACCAACTTCACAAGAAACTATCAAAAAAAAAATGGGGTGCTTTGAGGGGCTAATTTGGTTAAGCACCTGACTATTGATTTTGACGAAGGTCATGATCTCACTGTTTTGAGATCAAGCCCTACATTGGGCTCCATGCTGAGGGAGTGTGGAGCCTGCTTAAGAGTCTCTCTCTCTCTCTCTCTCTCTCTCTCTCTCTCTCTCTCTCTCTCTCTCTCTCCCCCCCTCCCTCCCCCCCCCTCCCTCTCCCCCCCTCCTTCTGCCCCTCCCCTGCTCACATGTTCATGTGGGCTCTCTCTCAAAAATAAAGAATAGAAAACCTGAATATAACACAATGCTCATTAAAAAGTTGAATCTGTAACCACAGATCTCCTCTCAAAAAAGGCCCCAGGCCCAGATGGTTTTTCAGGTGAGTTTTGGTCAGCTTGGACCACTGGAGGCTGGAGGTCCAAGATCAAGATGCCAGCATGGTCAGGCACTTGGTGAGGGCCCTCTTCCTGGCTTGCAGATGCAGGGGGGTAGGAGGGCTTGTGGCAAAGAAGAGAGCGAGCACACATGAGCTCCCTAGTCTCTTCTTCAGTGAGCATCAAGCTCATCATCATGTTGCTGTGTGGAACTGCCCAGTGACTTGACCCCACAGCCTTGCATGTGGCTTATTTCTCAAAACCACCAAGATCTCTCTGGACCTTAACACTGATAATCACGATGAACTATGTTTCTGTTCAAATAAACACTACCCGGAAGAGTCACTTTGTGTCTGTTTTAATTTCAGGACAGGATTCCATGGCTCTGCAATTTACATGACATTTTACTAAGGTAAGAGAGCATCAGGCCTTAAAGAAAATTCATCAGAAAGTAGACGGGGAATAATACACTCTGGAAATCACACCTGAGTGATGATAAAGGATCCCAGTAATGGAGGGCACTTCTGTCAAGTAACCAGCAATGATTTTAATCAGCCACACAGACATGTAATTCAGTTGGGTTCTAGAGACAAACCTAGAGAGTTTGACAATTATTATCTGAGAATCTTGGTCAGCCACTTGGCCTCCACAAGCCCATTTCTTCATTTGAAAATGGGGAAAATATAGTTCCTACTCACAGATTATTTAAGAATTAGTGAGATGAGGCAAGGGTGTCACTTAGAACAGTCTCTAAAAACACAGAAAGTGCTTACAAGGGGATAAGCAGTGTTACCACTGTTACAGCCACATCACATTTCCTTCCCCCTATTTCAAGCTGTGGCCAAGCAGGGAAGACCTAGGGTCATTTGAAAGTCAACAGATAACTGGGTCACCAGGACTAGAGTCCTAAATTGTCCAGCTCTACATCATGCTTCGGAGAATGAGGTCCCCTCCCCCCATCTGTGGACCTGGCCTTGGGAATTCTGGTGGGATGTGGAGAAGGAAGGAGAAAGAAAAGGCAGGGAATGGCTTATAAATCTTGCTTTCTAAAATGAAAATGAAATTTTTAAATGTTTTTATTTCTGAGAGCGAGAGAGACAGCGTGAGAAGCGGAGGGTCAGAGACAGAGGGATACACAGAATCTGAAACAGCCTCCAGGCTCTGAGCTAGCTGTCAGCACAGAGCCCGACGCGGGGCTCGAACCCACGAACTGTGAGATCACAACCTGAGCTAAAGTCAGCACTTAACCGACTGAGCCACCCAGGTGCCCTGAAGATGAAATTTCTTATTTTATAAATCTAAAACCATTTGCGCCATATGCAATTAGAATATACTTAAGATGAAAAATTCAGTTTACTTTTACACATGCCGCACTGATGTAGCTGGCAACCCTCTTTGCATGGGCTTACAGTCTAGGGGTTCAGGGTTTCAGAGCTTGAGAACCCCCACCACTTGGGTCTCTAACATAAATAGACTCGTCAGAGATAGAATACACTGACCTGTGATGGAGGCAGAAATGAAGATCCTCAGGAGAGCAGAGGTCAGACATCCGGGCCCAGAATAAACAAGCTCTTACCAATGGCTTGTAGGTGGAAAGAGCCAGAATCCTCAGGTGTGAGTTTGTGTAAGTCCGTTGCTGATGGTCCACTCCATCCACTGGGTCTCAGGTGTCTTTGGCCATAGAGCAAAGGCAGACCTCTTCAGAATTTTCAGTTCGGAAGCAAACATGCTAAGCACCCAAGCCAGGGTTTACCCTTCACCTCTATACTTGAGTCCCTTCCCAGCCCCAAGATGGCCACCTCTCCTGACCATGGGCAGGGGCCCACAGCGGCTGCGTGGAAGTGGGGCTCACTTACTTGTGCAGTCTCTGAGCATGTTGGTTTTTCCCTTGTTGGTGCTTGTCACTCTGCCTCCTGTTTCTGGCTCAGGTTTTTTTTCTTGGCACATCCCTGGAAGCTTCCTCATATCCTGCTCACCTTGACCACATAGAGTCTGATACTCCCTCTTCTCCTTCCTCCAGCTCTGCACTGGTAACTTTACCAGACTCTTCCAGCACATTGTAGAGTAGGGATGGGAAGGAGCCACTTGTGAAATTCAAATCACTGAACACCTGTGGAGAACCGAGGTGTGTGTGGTACAGGTACCCACCGGCAGCCACCATGTCCACATGCTGTGGCTGGGCCACATCCTACATTGATGCCTACCAAGCACTTCCTGTGTACTGGGCACCTTGATAAACGGTTCCTCCCCACACTTCTATGGACAGGTGCTCTAAGTTGCCCCATTTAACAGATGATGAACTGATGCTCAGGGAGCTAACTACCTCTCAAGATGCCTCATCTCACTAGTGGAAGATCTTTACCTCACAGCCAGACTGCCTGATACTTGACCACCATTTTGTAATGCCTCCCACTGGCCAGAGGAGTAAGGACTGGAGTCCTCAACCTAGAATTGACACCAATTTTAAATGCCCTCATTCAGTTACTCCCCTCCCCCTTTTAACAGAGATGTAGCTTCTGGACAGCATGTGGTCCTGGCCTGTTCAGCTCTGAAGAAAGTGTACAGAGACATCTTAATACGAGGAAAAGATGGTGCACCTCTCAAGTGTGATCAGATGGGGAAGGACAAACAGCCAGCTGAGGTGAAGCTCCTCGTGGTCTACCTGAGTGGGTCATTTGACGTCATCTCTAGACGCTTAGTCAAAAGAAAAGGACATTTTATGCCCCCTGAGTTACTGCAGTCCCAGTTTGATACTCTGGAGCCCCCATCAGCTCCAGAAAATTTCATCCAAATCAATGTGGACAAAAGTCTTTCAGAGATTATTGCTACGATTATGGAAACTCTTAAGATAACATGAGAATTGTTTCAGATCGGTGGTCCGGAACAACCAGGGAGAAATCTCTATCCCATCTCAAACTGTGTTCTAGTATCTTTGTCAGTACTGTATTCTAGATTCTTAAGGTGAGCAAACCATAATGTACAGAGATATGCGTGTTGGGGTGGGATTTTAGGAATCCGGGGTACTCCTGTCATTGTGCTCTGGTACACTGGGAGGAGACAGGAGGGAACTTTGAATGTAAAGCTTCACAGAAATTCAAATTCCTGTAACCTAATCAAATGATCAGAGGGAATTCTATAATCTATGCTGTAAATCATGACCTTATTTAGAACATTCTTGATCATGTCTGTATTTGGACCAATAAATGAAACTTGGCTCTCCTTGGCATCCCCTGGAAATTGGTCCCAGGAGCAGAAACATGTACGATATCGACCACTCATCATCAAGTCATGTCAGACCACCTGCCAATCCTCTCTCTCCTTACGTCATCTCAAGATACATAAAAAGCACAGAAACTTAATGGATATAAAAAGTCCCAAGGGTGGAACTTCAATTGATGAAGCATGAGACTCGCTGACTCAACTGTCCCCACCCATTTTACAGAGACACCAGGAGCTCAGGCTGGTGTCAGCCGCCTGCTTCTCCACTGCAAAAGCCAAAGTCTCTCTAGGGCCAGAACGGGACACCAGAGCTGCTGTGGCCAAGACACGAAATGAACCTTTCCGAAAGTCAGCAACTTGCCAGGGGCAGCTGGTCTACGGGAGGCTGCGTAGGGTGCTTTCTGGGCCCCTGGGAGGGCAGCCGCGATCTGGCCAGCGGCAGCTGGGTTTCAGCCCGTCCCCTAGAAGCTCCAGAAAGCTCCCTCATCCCTTTATCATGACCGAGGCCACAGAATCCATCTACACTGCAGAGCCACTGATCAGCTCTGGCCAGAAAGTGAGTTTTAGAACCAATTATCTGGTTTTTTTTCACAAGGGCATGCAGTTTGTCTTGGAATATGTGCTAGCAGAGTATGTGCCTGGCACGCCCGGAGAGTGAAAGGGCCCTCCTGGGGAAGCAGACGTTGCTTAAGGAAACGCGTGAAGCCACAGATCTCCCTCTGCCTGGAGATGTGAGAGGCATCTCCAGCCCGACTTCAGTTTCCATCAGTCCTTATTATGCAGCCAAGCCTTCAGGTCAGCCAGTCAACGTGCTCCCCTAGTCATAGAGGAAGGACACAGCCCACTGTATGCAGTGAGCCCTTACTGGGTACTGGGATGGGCACTCCACAGGGTTTGAGGACCTTAATGTGACGCAAAGCTCTGGCTCTCGGGTGGCTTACGCTGGGGCGGAAAGACAGGGCATCTCATCAATTCTGACACTGGCTGGGTTCTCAGTGAAGGCAGTTGCTCTCAAAAAAGAATTGGTTTTCAAATATCCTGCTGGACCCTGGTGAAAAGCTGTTTATAATTATAGGAGCACAATATCTATAAAGTATATTTGCAGTTGTAACATACACCGACATTTCCAAGAACGCCATAAAGGAACAACTGCATTCCTTTTTATTTTGAATTTTACTGAGTCGTCCTTTCAGAAAACCATGTTGGATTTTTCTGTCATGAATATAACACACCTACATCAGTCTGTGTGTGTAATTCTTCATTCACAGTGATCCACCTACAGGCACAAGCATCCAACCGCTCCGAGTTGTCTAGTGTAACTGTGCCCAAGTGTTACATACTCACTAATTGATTACAAGTTACTTTCCCTTTCTCTCCTTTAGGGTTAAGGCATCCTATTTACTCTTTGCTGGGGTAAGTTCTACTAGCAATCAGTTTCACTTCAAAGTGGTAAGGGGAAGGGGCATTAGAAAATAGTTGTTGAATCTGGTGGGGCTGGGAACCACTGCTCACATACTTCCCAAGAGGGCAACAGGGAGGCCAACGTGTGAGCCAGGACTGCCCCCTGGTGGCCCAGCGGGACACGGCAAGCACAAGGCACTCTCCCAACCTGTCCCGCCCCTGGCTCCGGGCCCAGGCCTGACCACCTTCTGCTCAGCCTCTACGACTCGACTCGAAGAGGCAGGGGAGAGACTTGTCTCAACCTGATTTTCTCAACCCTGCAAATAACCACTTAACCACCCATCCCCCCATGGGACGAAACTCGGGTGAAACATTTTCCTCTCCTGAGAAACCCCGCCGCCTCGTACAGTGGAGGAACGAGACCTGCACAGTGCAGAGCCCCAAACTGACACACAACAAATGTTGGCTCATGATAAATCCCTCATCCCTTGGAGGCTGAGGGGATGTGGCCATAGAACAAACTCTCACGCCTGCTTTTCGGACTGCAGAGGAGCTTGTGAACCCCTAAGTATGAGAACCTGGAGTCTCTCGGCTGATAGTCTCCTTCCAGCCTCCCCAGTTCTTGAAGCCTGACAGGACTCCAAGATCTGCGCACCATCTTTGGAATCTGGAGGCAGGAGAGCCTGAGCTCCGGGCCAGCACTGCCACACACTGAGGGACCACGGGCAAGACCTCACTATGGGTGTCACCTCCAGGTGCCCCAAAGGTCCGGGAACTCACATCCCATCAGGCCAGGCCTCTCTAGAGACTGCCTTGATGAGCAAACTACGTTTCAGTGGATGGGAGTGCAAGAAGAGAGAAACTAAAACAGGCTGACCTGGGGCGCCTGCATGGCTCAGTCGGTTAAGCGTCTGGCTCTGCATGGACAGCGCAGAGCCTGCTTGGGAGTCTCTTTCCCTTGCTCTCTGCCCCTCGCCCACTCGTGCACGCAAATGCACTTTCTCAAAAATAAACTAAAAAAAAAACAAAAAAAACCAGGTTGACTTTAATCAAAGATATCAACCAGAGATTTGCATCTTCTGAAACTATCCAAGTTTATTCCCCCTTCACTCAATAGCCAAGTCTGTATGTTCAAAATGATTGAACACTTCATGGGATTATGAATGCTCAGCAATTACCAAGGAAGAATTTGACTAGACCTCCAGCCTACAAGCTATAAGCTGTGTTGGGCCTCAATGCAGCAGGGTGTTTCAACCTTTACAGAATCTCAGGTGTAAAATGTATAGCCTGGTGATTGCCAGTCTTCAATCCCTCCAGTGGAGTTTCCCCCCAGCAACCTTAGATACTGTAGAAACTGAATTTCACTTTTTGGGTTAAGGCTGGAAAATCATGGGCCATCAGTCAGGAGGATCCAAGACCTGATGTTGAATCTCTAATACATACCTTAACTAAAGATCCAATCAGATGGTGCTGGGGGTAATGTCCCAAAATCATAGCAGTGGCAGGACCTGCATGCTTGAATGTGCAGAGTGCCTAGCAAAAACAATAGTGGGACATGGTGGACATTAGGGAGTGGTGAGGACTATGGCATGATGGAAAATGCATGTCTTATCTAAAAAGGGCAGCCATGGCTCAGAGCTCCAGATAACACAGGAACACACCTGCATTACACAATCTATTGTATTCTTGCATAAGGGAGAACACACCTTCAGAACTGGGGAGAAAAAGGACTTCTGATTTAAACGCATTAGGTGAACTAAGGGAGGACTCAAGGAAGCTGTTTAGGAAGTAAGGGATGATAGGGTACTTTAGTGAGAGAAATGAAATGAGGCTAAAGCTATCATTCATAAAGAAGTCTATTAGCCAGGGGCACCTGAGTGGCTCAGTCAGTTGGGCATCTGATTTTGGCTCAGGTCATGATCTCAGTTTGTGGGTTCAAGCCCTGCATCAGGTTCAGTGCTGATAGCTCAGAGCCTGGAGCCTCTTTTGGATTCCATGTCTCCCTCTCTCTCTCTGCCCCTTCCCCGCTCATGATCTGTGTCAAAAATAAACATTTTTTAAAAAATGTAAGTAAAATAAAAAGAAGTGTATTAGCCAGAACAGGGAGGTAGGTATTTGGTCATTTTTTGTGGACTGGACAACATTCATGTTTTTCTTGTGCAGGCACAATTACAAAAATGTCTTTTGACTTTGGTCACGGAGCAGTCCTGTAGATTACACAGGTAATCTTGGGAGATTATTCACCAGGACAGAGACCTCACTTTTAGTAGCAGATCAGCTCCTGGATGACAGGCACTGCTTTTCCTCCCTCTAATTGTCAGATCATAGTCACTAAGGTCTTTTAGGCCTAGATTTGAAGTTGTTGAGGACACATTTATCTTTAGAACAGAAGCAGAGCTCAGAGGGTTTAACTTGACCTTCCCTTCTCAAGAAGTGAGCATTTGGTAGGCTTTCCATCTTAAGTAAGGGTCAGGCTGCAGTAGTTGGTTATACCCTGAGGTCAGAAGGTTGACTAACAGGGAAGTAGTGGATTAATCTCTCAGGATCTATCCCACTTCCTTCTGTAGCTGAGGCTCCAGTAGTTAACATTTTAAAGACTGGTGAACTGGTTCCCAGGTAGCGGCACCATTTTACATTCCCATCAGCAATCCTAATACTTGTTATTTTCGATCTTTGTGATTACAGCCATCCTAGGGGACGTGAAGTGGTATCTCATTAAGGTTCTGATTTGCACTTCCCTAATGATGTTGAACGTATTTTCATGTGCTTATTTGGCCATTTGCTTAGTCTTTGGAAAAACATCTATTCAAATCCAGTATGCCTTGGGTTGTTTTTTTCTCCTTTTATTGTTCCGTTGTAAGAGTTCTACGTTGTAAGAGTTCTACATGCTGGATACTAGATTCTCATCAGATACACAATCTGTCAATAGTCTCATCCATTCTCTGGGGTTTGTTTACTTGATCAACTTTGAAGTACAAAAGTTAGAGTTTGCTGAAGTCGAACTTATTTTTCATTGGCTGCTTGTGTTTTTGCTGTTGTAGCTAAGAAACCACTGCCTGGTCCAAAGTTATGAAGATTTATAGCTTTGTTTTCTTCTAAGAACTTTTTAAGTTTTAGCTCTTACATTTAGGGCGTGGATCCATTTAGTTTTTTGAATCAGAATATGCACTTTCACAAGACCCTGGGTGATGTACATACACAATAAAGTTGAGAAGCACTGCCTTAAATTACTAATAAACTCCCATTTCCTTTTAAATATGTTGTTCTAACCATGGTAGCATATTACAGTCACTGAGCTTTAAAAATTTATGCCTGACTTTATCCACGATGTCACAATTCCTCTTAGTCTGGGCGGGCTTCTTTTGTCACCTCCACAGCTGATTCAATGTGAGGCCAGGGCTGGAACAGCTTCCTCTTCATAGATCACGGATTTCACCCACATGCCTCTGCTCAGCTGGTTTGCACCTACGGCCTGCTTCCTAGGTGATGTTTGGATTTCCAATGGTACCACATTAAGACTGGGATTGGTGGTCACAGTGGGTACAGTACATGAGCTTGTAAGCTTAGGGTTTTGAAGGGACACAAATCACACTTTGATCACTGGAA